GGGATATTCCCTCTCTTCCGCTGGCCAAAAAATCTCCTAGCATAATTTATAGGGATTGTCAGTATGAGGGATTTTTAAAGAATTTACAACCTGATAGCCAAATGATAAGGTGCCAAAATCTTTTTCCACTCTGAATTTTGTCTTTTGGCAGAAGACAAGGACATAATACTGTATTGCAACCATTTCAGTCTGGTTTTCTCACACTTCATACTCAGGGGAGCTCAGGAAAGTGGGGATAACTATCAAAAGTTTATGTCTGTTCCACTGACTAGTTTAAATTTAAAAATGCATTGCCTTGTAATATGAGCAAAAAATTCTTCTCTCACAGAAAATAACTATATCCTGAGGGAAAGTTGGTAAAAGAAGTTTAAGCAGGAAGAAAGTCTTGAAATTACCAATACTAATGATTTTTTCTTTTCTTTTCTTTTCTTGAATTTACCAGTTGGGCTGTTGCCCATCTGTTGAATTAACCAGATGGGTCATTACTATGTTTTTCTTGATTTTAAATTTATTTTTTATTGAAAGAAAGCAGTTTGAGAAGGCTGTGGTTGTTTCAGGTTACTATAGACAGAAGTTTAACATTCTTCTTATGAATCCAAATGGGAAATTTTGTGCATTTTGAGACCATCAGTCCAATTATGATCTGACAACCAGAGCATATGAATTTTCTATTTTGCACAGATTTTAAAAGCGCCATAAAAATGCTGTGTGCTTGGATTCTATGAGATCATTTCATTCTAGAAGAAGAAAGCAATAGTTTTTACTTGAAAACTTAGCAATAATGGAGACATTTCAACAGTAATTTGGGCCTTTAAAACTCTTTTATTAGGGATCATTAGAATTTAGTATCTGAGTAATGAGGCTTCCCACCCCCACTTTTTAAGAACTGTATTCGATTTAATACCTCTAAAAATTCTTCTGAAATCTGAATACCTCTATTTTACCTCATACTGATAAAACTTTGTATGATAGGTAACCAACAGCCAATACAACCGTGATTGTTCTGTACTTGGAAATCACGTAAAACTGAGAAATGGAGGAGTTATGCAATGGACCTAATTTCTCAAGGAAAACAGACAGACTAATTCATGTGGCTGTAAAATCAAGGCCAAAATTTTAAAGGAAACAAACTAAATTTGCATGTGTTTGTTTCTAAAAAATCCTAAAGCCTTTAGGATTCCTATGAAATCAAACCAATATATTGGCATTCTCAACCACAAGAGGGCATCCATGCTTGCAAGCTAGTCCTTGAAGATCATCTATAAACAGATATATCTGTCTGCCTATTTATCCATCAATCTATAGACACTGATAAGGATATAGATATATTTCTTTCTATTAGGTCCCAGCTGTGGTACAGAACACTTTTGCTGTGGGAGGTTTCCGCTTTCATAATCCCATGGTATCTCCCGATGTTGGCAGGGGATAGCACATAAAGTCCAATTTTGCTGTCCCTAAAGCTCTCATGGAATCCAACTTTCTCACTCCTGCAAAAGTTGTGTTTAATCCTCCCATTATTACTGAGGCCTGATCCAATGCATCTCAAATTCAGAGGGGAACAAACGGATCTCAGAGAGAGGAACACACAGATTCCCAAGGATAAGTGTGCAAGGTCAAATCTAGATTTTCTGAAGTCATTTATTACCCCAGAGGGAGGATTTGGGATCACTAAAACCTGCTCAGTATCAATCTGAACTCATGACTTTCAGAGATCTTACTCTCCCCATAATTCATTTCACAGGCATTTCACTGTTGTGATGAGGGGAGGGTGCTGTTTGTTTTGGTTTTGAACACGAATACATTTTCTTCTCTGATGCACATAAAACTCTCATTAGAGCCTGAAACAACCATAAAAAGGAACTCTGAAAGCAAAGCTGACCTAGTGGTAGTATATGATATGCTTAGCTGAAAAAGATCTCACAAACACTAGAGTGTATATGGTAATATTGGAAGTAAACTTCATCTTCCACAAAAATAATGTATAACTTCAGCACCAGAACATATAGGTTAGCACCAAAAGGTATCAATTGCTACCCATCATCTTAGATGTTTAAATGAGGCAAAAAATCACAAGCAGATATTATAAACAGCTGCACTCAATAACTAATGATGTCAATTACTTCATTTTTACTCTTATGCCTCTCACAGTATTTTGACTAAAATATTTTTAGCCTTGTTTTAGTGTGTGTATACTTTCATAATTTTATATTTAGAAAAGAACAAAAGTCTGAGCTAATTTCTCTGTCTTTAAAGGCACACTACTCTGCTTGGAAGGAATTAGTACAGATCTTCAAGGCTTGCAGAACAGCAGCTGGGGGTAGTTTGCCTCAGCATAACCTTGAACTCATCAAGAGTTTTCCTCAGCATGTGTCAGAGCAGATATACCGCCAAAGACATCTGAAGTCTTCTGCACATTTCAGTACTTTTGTTCTAGCAGCACTCGGTGTCAGGTAATCAATCAGGCAGCACTGACACTGGCAATCAAAGTAAAGCTTTACTGGCATTGTCATTACCCAACCCAAGAGAAAAAAGATCATAGAAATTGGGGTGATTCAAATAGGTAATACAGAAAGGCCTTCAGTAAACTACTTATTAAATAAAGTGGAAGGGCAAATTTTGCATAGTAATCAAATATCTGATGAGCGGTGACCCTCTCCATTCAATGAAAAATATTCAGCTAATGCTTGAGCTCTTGCGGCTGGTTTTATCAGGAGCTGCTTGTATGAAATAGCTTATACCCAGATCATTTTTTGCTGCTGTCTATTACAGTGTGATTACAATAATCCCTAGCACCATTATAGGATGTTGTGAAAAAAACCTGCATACCTGTTTGTTAAAAGCAAAGTTTTCTATATCCACGGAAAACAAAATATTCCACAAAATCAAGGTATTTGTAGCAACTTAAAAAGTAACAGATACGATAACATATATACCCGTTATAATAATTTCAGCTGAATTACAGAATTATAAATTAATTTACAATGTCTACTCCTGTTTGGAAAGCGTACCATACAACATACATGTTGCAAATTCCAAAGTGCATAGTCATTTCTTGTTAGACCTACTGTTGTAGGCTCCATGGCATAACCTGAACTTTTGCTTATGCTCTGCTTCCTATCTTGTGTTTGAAAAACAAATAATAATGACAATGGCTAGATACGCTGTTTTAACTTTGCTGTCTTTACCTCTAAACAAGTTTTCTTATGCAGAACAAAAATATATTTGCCCCATGCATCTTTGTCAAAAACTGGGCTGGCTGAGGACTAGTGACCCACCCAGTAGTATTCTCACTGAATACTTTCAATGTGTACATAGATGATGCAAAGAGGTCGTGTTTCACTTTCAAAACCAGACTGAATTTTACTCAGTCAAAGTGCTTGACTGATTGAGCACTGTTCAAGTCCAAGTCCCTTTGAAACCAAAAGGAAAAACATTTATACTGTAACTGTTAGGATAAAAGTTAGTAGAATATTACAAGTGTTGTTCTTTTAAAACACTTTTTAAAAACACATTTAAGACAATATACGTGTCTAGTTATTGTCCTGTCAGATACAGAAGTGTCACTAACCAGAAATGTCTGAAGAGCCACAGATCAGTTGCGGACATTCTCTGAGGGATCAGATTATGGGTAGATGGAGAGGGGCTGTTACGTTTCATACACTGCAGAGCCCATTCCTCTCCCACAGCTATCTTGATGGATAAAAAGAATAACTAACATGAAGAATTAAAACTCTGATCTTTCTTTTTATATCACCAATGTGATACTTCATCTTCTGGTGACAGACTGTCTCAAACACCCTCAAATGTACTGAATTAGTAGTGACTTAAGGACACATACATGTGTGTAGCACTAGTGAAATTATACTCTGTTGTTCTGCTTGCTCTACTTAGTATTGCTTTTCAAAGTTCATAAATTTGAAAGGTCTAAATGTAGCAGTGCAAGCAGACTAAACATGTATATTTAAAGTGGAGTACATTCTGCCCTGTAATACAAAGCCAAAACTCGAGGCTATTTCAATGACATAGTAGTTGTAGCAGACAGTTGATTTCCTCCTTTTTTTAATCTGTTTTTCAAGAAAACGACCTGTATAATATTCTAGCTTAGAGTGTAGGTCCTCTTTATAAATGTTCTAGTAAGCACCTATATGTGTTCAGTTTCTAGCAGGAAAGGTAAGAATAAACAGATTTGGGTTTTATTAATTCATACAGATGTTTTCAGGAAGCAGTGCAGCATATTTTAAAGGACTCTGCCAATTGCTTTAGAAATTTCAAATTTTTGTCACAAATCTGTATGAACTTTTAAAGTTGCCTGATGTCTTTTATTTGGAAATCCTCTTATTTACTTTTACTTCAGATCTCTCCTTGAAAGTTTCACCTGGCTGTTTCAGTCAGGGGGATAGCATACATACTGGCAAACTTACAGTGTAAAAGACAGTATGGATATCATATACTGATATATGCTGCTTTGTAGCAATGTATTTTTTTACCTTCCTGTACAAGAATAAATATACTGCTGCAAAGTGCCATTATACCATTATGACTGTGTTCAGAAACACAGAAAGGTAGAGTTAGGCTGTGTTATTATACCAGTACATTTGCAGTGATGTAGCTTTCTATCTAGTTAAGACTTTAGGCATGTGAGTTAACAGCCACTGCACCTTGGCCAGTGTGGTTCCTCATTCTCTCTAATTTTCCCGTCTGCACACAGGCATTGTTGATGATAGCAGCAGCCGTGTGCTGAACTCTTGGAATGCCATAAATGAATAAATGTTGTGCATGAGGTAGGTAACATCCTGCAGTTTCTCTTGCACGTATGTTTTCCTCTGCTTGGAGTCCCATTGACATTGCAGGTGAAAGCACCGGTGTAAACGGAAGGAACCATTGGGAGTGTGAGGACAACTCATTGGTTTGCACATCACACTCCATTTTTAAAGCACAGTATGAAACAATGACCCTTTTCTTTCTGGAGCTATTATTTTTAAAAGGAAGTCATATTCTGTCTTTTAATGCGCTTTTAACAGAACCTAATCTTCAGGAAGCTACATTTGCTAAGGTGAAAATTAGTTTGCTTTCCATTGACAAAATGTTAATCTAAAAGGGTTAATGTGACTCTTAAATCCCAAAGTGTTAAAACCAAATTATACTATACTTTGAAAGCTAATTATACAAAAGCATATAAAAAGAAAACATCAGAGTATTATTACAATATCTCTCTATATATAATATGTGCAAAATTCAATATACAAGCTTCTTGTTACTCATCCTTTTCTTTTTTTTTAAAAATAATGTAAAATTTAACTTATTTAAACCAGTATAAGTAGTTTGATGTTACTCCTGGGAAACAAAGATTGTCGGTACAAGAACCTCCATAGCTTGGAGGACAAGCAGAACATGGGACTCCTACTTTATATGGTGCTTCTCCAATCCAATTCCCCCTGAAAATAAAAAAGGAACAAGAATGCTTAGCAATTTAAGAGAAACAGAAAAAAAAATTCATTAAATAATACTAGTTTTGAGTGATTAAGGTTAATGTCTTCAGTGATATCCTATAAATGCCCTGTTACTGAAAACATACATTAATCAGAGAATCAGAGAATCATGGAATCATCTAGGTTGGAAGGGACTTTTAAGATCATCAAGTCCAACCATTAACCTAACACTGCCAAAATATATAAAAAAATATATTTCTGGAGGTTACTGACAAAGATTGATCTACCGATTCCCAAAAACCAGCAGAATGACCATGTTGCCCCAAGCCAGTGTCCATTCCATATCCTTTAGTGTCTGTGGTGAAGTCCTGGTCCTCTTGCTTTTGCTACAGACAAGTGATTTTTGACTTTCCAAGCCTGGGACCGAGTATTTTTTACCAGAGGGATGTATTTGTGAGAAATTCGCAACATGAGCATTGGTGCAAGGTTTTTCCTTGAGCACTTTTGTGTCTGCCAGTTACCTTAAAAACTTGGGTTTGGAAGGCAGAAGAACGAACTGAGTGAAATCTTATTCTCAGGTTGCCCTGTTGTGGGTCTACATTGTGAAGCCCTGATGCTGAATTAGTGGTTAAAGAAAAGGGAAGATGAAAACTATTCACACTAGTAATGTATTAAAAAGAACTGTATTTGGGCATTTTTAGGGGTCTCATAGGTGTTAACGGGAGGAGAAGGAGGGCTCCCAGCCGGTGAATAGAGCTGCGTAATAGAGCCTGGGCGAAAGGGGTGCAAGTATGGAGAGTGATCATGTGAAAAGAGGTAACTCTGAAAGATCTAGGAAAATCTGAAAATCCAGACTTTTAGGTGCTTATATAAACCCCAGGCTTTTAGAGATTCATGTAACACTCGTGATGTAGGCAGAAAGAAAGTTAAAATTAGATTTTTTATTTAAATGTTATGTCTCACTGAGCAGAGAACTTTCCTCTAGTTTTCATGTGACGTGGTATAGCAGTGAGTAATGCAAGTATTTATGAAAAATTTTCTCATCCCACACCTCCCAGCCAATAACATTGGATCAAAAGCCCTGGTCTGGATTGTGCCTTGGAAGAAAGTAGGAATCTCTCAAATAATTTTCTCATTCCTACTTCTCTTCCAAATGGGTACAGCAGACTAGCGGTCAGGAAATATATTTAGTTTGATAACAGATATGGAAATGCAGAAAGAGTTTGCTGAAAGCTGATTGCTGCTTTATTTGCTATGCAATGCATGGCTGACTTGCTGAGTCTGTTAGATAACCAGGTGCGGGGCCTTTCCAAACTTTGTAATTATCCTCCTTAACTTTTCTTTTCATTATTTCAGAAGCACAGATATTTTTCAGCATTACAGCATGGCATCAGTGAAAATGACTGGAGTTCTAAATCCTACATCTTTGCCAAATTCCAACACTAATAACTCAAGTCGGGGCTGTTATATTCAGCCCCTCCTTCTTCAGAGGAGTTTCTCATGTGCTGGTTGCTCAGAAGGACACAACCTTTATCGACTGGCAAAGAGACTTCTGCATGTGTGCCGAAGCACTCTAAGCCCAATGTCCTTAACTCAGCTTAATTCATTCTTAGGAATATAAACTTAAGCCAGACATGACCACTCAATATCCTTTTGTGACCATGCAAGAAGTAGATGTGAAAATCCCAATTCCACTACCTATGAATGAAAGGTCTATTCAAAATCTCATCCAGAGAAGAAGCTTGTAACTACAGGCTTTGGTTTGCTGCTTGAGAAACAGTGAGATTTTTAAACTGAGAAAATATAAAATCTCATTAATACATTGTTAACTGATACACAGACAATGCATCAGTTTTCAATAATGTCCAGTGCATAAAACTGTTATTTTCCTATATATGAACATGAAAGATGTATTCTAGGAAGTTTGAAAATTTAATTTTTTTTTTTTTTTTTGTCAAATGGAGATATATAAAAAATAGTATTTAGGTTTCTCTTATAAACTTTGATTTCACCCTGTCCATGTTGTTGAGCTAAAAGGAAGATACAGTTTTTGCTGCCTGATACCTCTCACATTTATTTCTTACCACCCTTTTCTAGTAGATATTAAAGACAAATGGACAGAGAAATCTCCTTAATTTCCACAGGGTTTTTTTTCCAAGTTTTCTTACTAAATCCTATCTTTTTTTAAGTTGTAAAATCTTTAGAAATTCTTTTACTCATGTAACAGCTAGAATAATGACATATTCTTGCATATTCTTTACCACAAATGGACCCGAGCCACTGAGAGTTTATGGCAAACATGCTCAATTAATTATACTTAGATTCCTATACAGAACTATGGCTTTGCCTAATATTATGCAGTCAGAGAAACCAGCCATTTACACTGTTCATGCTGCTTTTGAAGCACTCATCCAAACCAGACCTCAAATCAAAGCTGTCCCAGAGCCACACTTTATTGATTCATTCTGCACCCAGATGTAAGCTTGGGATGATATCTAGGAAACGCTGGGAGAAAAGTAATTTCTTCATTTCGACCTAACACAGATGTTTGCACAGCTCCCTGATATAGGGCCACCTATGTGTGTCTATGACCTATACTTTGAAGGACCTTGATATGGAATGCAAGATAAGATTTGTAGACACTGAGCTTAGATGGCTGGACTTTTTAGGAAACCTATACTACGGATGCCGTGATGCAGCATGGTCACAAGCAAAGGTATCTTGTGGGCAACCACATGTGTTCACAGTAAGTCAAGGGCCTGAGCTACAGTGGAACTCCTTAGCTGAGGAAGTCTAGCTCAACATAAGTATGTATAACACAGTGAAGAAATAAGGAATTGAAAGTAAAGTGGAGACAGCACAAAGGAGTAAGACAAAAAGAATTATAATAATAATAACAACAATAACAGAAAACAAGTTTTTGGTTTTGTTCCGTACAGATCAAATTATTTCCTTTTCTTCCTCGTATACCAAAGTCATGCATTTGCTGTATTTCAGATGTAAAGTTAGAATGAAGGAGCAGCCCGCAGAAAAAGCACAGAGGTCAAGCTGCAGAAAAAGGAGTAAGCAGTCCTACAAGAGGACCAAAACATGCATGCAGTATAAAAATAAACAACATTAAAAGAAAGCAACTCACTTTGGGGCATAGTTGCATACCAAGTAAACAGCTCGTCGCCAAACAGATCCCCAGACGTTCATATTGTGGCATGTGTGGATTGCGCAGCCTATACGATTGGAAGTGGCCCAAACCATCTGAATAAATATTTATTATTGGTGAAGTCCAAATTGAAAAGAAATATATATATATATACACACACACATTTATTTGAGAGAGAGCTATAAATATATCACAGAAAGTCCAGCTTTGGACGGTAGATTTTGAATAGAAGAATGTAATTTATATAACCTGTGTGTAATGGGTGCACATGGGTCCATAACATCGCATGGGGCACCTGGGGTTGCAGTCCTGAGGATAAGGAAAAGCATAATCCTTCACCTCATCATACCATGGCTTTACCAGCTGGAGAATAGATCGATACCTGGGTTTTTTTAAAAGACAGAAAGAAAAACATGTCATTTTAGATCTAGGTATTCTGGAACTTTCTGCTGCTAATCCCTCTGATGCAAGTCACCTAAATACACATTTCTCCTCATATCACTAAGGGCACAGTATTAAGCATAATACTCTTAAGCCAAATGAACATAGATGGATATAAATTATTGCTAGAATACTGGATGACACTTGTATCAGTCAAAGATATGGATCTCAAAAGCTGTTTTGTAGGGTATCTGCCTACCTTCCAGTTCTCACAGATAGGTTCTGGCCCAAGAATCTCAGTAAGTAGGAAGGTCCATGGTCCCAAATGCATGTAGCAGCCCAAGCCTCTGCAGATTTGGCAAGAGTTTCATCCCAAACCTGACAAAATAAAATATGCTTAGCAGCAGAACAGAAAAAAAACAAATAGTGATCACAAGGCAAGAACACAAGAAGCAAGTATCTTAAGTCACAAATATACTATCATAAGACATCGGATCTGTAACCTGGGCAGAGAGCTCTTGAATTCAAAAAACTGTGGGACAGCGTGTACAGGATCTAGCAGGATTTGCCCTAACACTGGGCAGAATTCCTGTCCACGTCATCAGAGGAAGCCAAGTATTCATATCTCTCCTTTTTTTCTGGAAAAGCCCTTCCCTGAGCAGGCATTCTTCTACCATTTTTCCTCCTGTGTTGATGAGATCCATGTGTGGAAAGGAGTGAAATATTGGATGGGATTCAGATGGAAGTTAAAGAGAAGGAGAGGCACACAGGGAAGAACAATTCAGCACAGGTATTACATACTCCACAAAACCCCAAAGCATTTGAAATAGGATCTCAGGAGCATCTATAGCCAGAGAGAGTGTGTGTGGCAGCTTTTCATATTTGAGGCCACAAGGTCAAGAAAAGGGATTCCACAAAGGAAAGACTATAGATAGTTTCCAGGTGTGGTATGAGTTTCATCATTTTATTCTGCACGGGAGCTGACATTGCTCCCTGCCTGGAATATAAAGATAACAGCTCTGTAAGAAGAGACAATTTGACTTCTTAAGTTATCCTCCAACATGGACAGTTCTTAGTTCTCCTCCTAGGAACATGACAAGTGAACTTAAACGCTGTCTCCTTTATATGCTTTTCCTGCTCACTTACATGCTTGATCTGTAACTCCACTATTTTCTCCACAGCAAATACACTTGCCTCAGCAATAATGAAGATATCAGCAATAGAACCTACTACACTGCTGGAGCTCCAGATAAAGAATATCTCACTGTTATATTACAAATACACACAAATACGAGTATATCTTCGTATTTGAGTTGATACCCAAGTAGGCTTTAGGTCCTGGAATTAGAAGTGCATTTTGAATACCGTGAAGAGAGTGTTTTGGTACAGGACAGTTTTAGTGAATTGCAAGTAGAAAGGCAGGAACAGAATGTGGTAAAATTGCCTACACAGCCCACTGCAGCTTCTTAAACACAAACCCAAACTCATAAATGTTGAGTGGCTACAAAATAGAGTATGTTCTCTGAGGTATGAAATAAGAGGCAAAGTCAGAAATAAACTTATCAAAGGATAAGGTGGGCCACATCACAAATATTTTCTGTTCTATGAGCTAATAATGATTTATAACATTGAATTCGTAGTTTTAATTTCTCTAACCTGCAGAGTGAAAAGACTGACCACAGATCATGGACTGGGACAGTAATTCATGCCCTGACTCTGTCTGGTAGTTTGTGAAATTTCTCTAACTGAAATGACAAAATTTAGCAAACTGTATGAAATGGCTGTATCCTTGAACCAAACATTTGCTACTATGGAGTGGGTGAAGTACCTCCTAGATTAAAGCTAAAGAAGTGCAACAGAGATTAATATGGACCCTTAATGCAAATGATCTTCCTTTCAAGTGGAACCACCTTATGGAAAGTAAGATGGATGGTGCTTAAAACAGAGCAGATTTACTTTATACCTGTTCATAAAAGGTTCCCGGAAAAAGTCAAAGAAAATTGCCAGTAAAAGGACAAAACAGTGTTAGGAAAAAGCATGCTAAGAAGGAATGGTCTTCAAGAGAGGAAATACTTTGACTTCAGCTCTGAAACACGAAGGGAGTTTCTTGGAGGACTTAGAGATAAATCTATAACTTGGGAAGAGAAGGCTAAGCTGGAGCACTAGAGTACAAGAGAGGGGACCTGGGGCTGCTATGTCTCCATCCAAAACCCAGGAAATGCTCTAGGGCCCAAGATGAAGAAAACTGTGGACAGACATTTGTTCTGCTTTGTGTCTCTGACGTTAAGTCAATTAGCTGCATGTGGCCAGCATACAAATAACTTTATAATCCCTGTGGTATATCAGTGGTCCCAAAAGGAGGGCGTAAAGAAGGGGCAAAAGTAGGTACAAGCATAAAAGTGTGCCTGGGAAGTGTGCCTGAGAGCAGGGCCACAATGGGTGTTTGGAGCCTGCCCAGGCCCAGGGGAACGGAGGAGCACACGGATCCAGCGTGTGGGTCCAAACACAGCTGCCTGGTGTGCAGCCATAAGGGGCAGCTCCGCCAGGACTGTGACACCCCATAAACACCCTCCTTTGCTGGGATTAATCATGCTTCTGGCACGAGCGCTCCCTGCCAGGAGGCTGAACATGAGGTTTGCGTGCTTGCTCCCAAGTGACCTGGCTGCAGTCCCACAATAATCTAAATGTGTACTGTATTTGCACAAATAGCACCGAGCTCCTGATTTCCACCCAGCATATTTTCACGTACTAAATTGCCTTGCAAAATAGCATGTTAGGTGTTTGAAAGAAATGTGAAGACTGGATTAGGTTTTCACTATTAATGCCCTCTCTAAACTAGTCATGGCCCCTGCCTTGGAGAGTGAGAGCATTGCTAGTCCACTTTTGTTTCTCCTCAGCTTCATTTTCTGGTTCTCATGAATCATCTGCAGCATTTGATTGGTAAAGTTTTAGGGGGTTGTTTCAAACTTAGCTTAAAAGTTGTGGGTTTGGCAAGTAAGCATTACTGTGATATATAGCGCACTCTGCTTTCCATTATCTTTTCACTCTTGACCACTCTCTGGACATATAAAATTTTTAGCAAACAAACAAAAAAAAAACCCACCACACCACTGAAAAAGAAATAATGAGAGGGGAGCAAATGCAGCATCTTTTAATTTTCTCCATGCCTTCATCAGCAGGCTTGTTAAAAGCCCATGTACAGAGTCCCCTCCTGCTATGCAAATCATTTGTACTTCATGGGAGATGAAGTGCTTCACCTTCCTTATTTTATCTTCATGTCCTAGAAGAAAACATGATGTCAGTCCCTCTAGGACTAGCTCTAGATCATCTCTATAAGAGAAGGCAAATAGTTAATGTGGGCTGAAGCACAAAAATTATTATTTCATAATGACCTAAAATAGTCTAAACTGTAAGAGATTGTACAGTTAGTTCACCCTTTTCTAAAGAAGTCTGATCCTGAGTCCACACTTCTACTAATTTATATCTCAGTTCAGTCCCCTTTTTTGGTTATGCAAGAGTACAGGGCAAAGACATGTAGGTTTTTTGAACCCATGAGGCTTCACTGTTGTACACAGATAAATAGCATATAAAAAAATAGAAAAATATCCTAAAAAGAGAAACGAAAGTAACTTGAAAGCCAGAGGGGCAGTTTCTCTATGAGGAGAAATTAAAAAGATCAAGGTAATTAGCAAAGAGTTTAAAAGAACACTGAGATAAATAAAATTATAAGCTCTGAAATGATGGCTGAGCCAGTGTTTCTATTAAACATGTTAGAGAAAGCTACCTGACATGAACACAAAGTTGCAAAAGGGAAAAAGGACAGATTTGCATACTCAGTGGGTCAAGATCTGAGGAGGTGACTCATCCTCAAATGCTAATCATGCAAACTCCCAGTGCCAAACTATGCTCATTCTCTCCCTGGGGACAGGAAATCTTCATTGATTGATCTTCATTGAAATTTTCATAGGTCACTAGTAGTTGGGGAAGCAGTCACTTTCCTTCCACCCAGTATAAAGTTCCACCCCAAACTCTCCAGATCACTGATTTGGTCCAGCATGGAAACCCTGCCCACTCCTCAACTGGATGTAACTGAGCTGCGATGGAGTTAAAACATCTCACCACACTTCCACTGGCAACTTGAAGTGAACATCCTTTGGCCAATTTATTTTTCTTTCCTCAGCCAAAGATTATTTTCCTAGAAAGCTGTCCGACTATGCTTTCTGCACCGCTCCCTGCAAAACCGCACTTCAAAACTGCACTTAATTGGAAAACTGTCAAACGGACTGAATTGAGGGTACAGGCCAGTGCTTCTACATGGGGAGTTTCAACACCAGAGACCACCTTATGAGGCTTTATGAGGGACCTCTGGGGTGTTTTTTGCATTCACACAGCACGCGCTGGTTGAGAGTTAGGACCAAAATCTTAGTGTTAATAAAGTCAGTGGGAATTTTGCCAATGAGGTCATTCACCCCAGATGAGGGGGTTTTTTTTGTTTGCTTCACTATGTAAACAAATAGTAAAATGAATTCTTTTATTCCCATAACATATAACAAGCAATGGAGTGTAAAACAAAATTTCTTTAATGTTGAATGAAATTTCTTGAAGCCCCCTTCCCCAAAGGAAGCCTTTTGCTGTTGTGGGTCACAGTTCCCTCTCATCCTCCCTTTCTATAGCTGTTTCTATAGCTGTCTCCCAGTTGTTCTTAGATAAGTTATATGTAGAAGGGATGGAGTTGCCATTTTGATCTTTGTTGGAATAGCTTTGTTGGAACAGGACATCCTGGTCACAGTTATCCTCCTAGGTATTAAAATGATGGTGAAGCTGAATAAATATTATGATGAAGAAAAAGAAGAGAAACAACTACAATATTACAAAAATCTCTCCACAACATTTGCTGAAAAATAATTGGCTGTTCCCTTCCTACACTGACAGCTCTGCTTTAATTTGAGGAATGGTGTACATAACCATTTTCAGCTATAATTTGAAGCTAGAAACACAGTTGTTCTGCTCATTCTCATTACAGTCAGAATTGTACTTCTAATACCAATTGTTTAAATGGAGTAGCTTTCTCTTGACCCCCTGCTCAACACACGTCTTAGGGGGCAAACCCTGCTGCAAAATAGGAGATAAAGCTGAAAGCAACAAGGTACTTCAGACAGCAACCTCACTACTTTATCTGTAAGTAGAAAACATTGAACAAGTGTATGCAAAACAAATGAAATGGAATTCTCTTAATCCGAATCACTTGTTCTCACTGCAAACTTTCTAAAGGACTGCTGTATCACTGCAAGCATACTGCTACTCTGGATATGTTTAACCTGTCACAATTTTACTTGAAAAGTAAAAAGTTTCATATTCCTGGTTTTAAATGCACTAGT